AGATCATCTAGATGCTGTAGATAAGATAGACGCCATGAAATTCTGTGACACTAACAATGTCACCCAATCCTGGCAATCCATCCCCTTCAACACCTCCACCCCTGTTCAAGATGTCAATCCTTTGGAACGTGTATTGCCTCACTTGCCCGGCGCATACGCCAATTTCGTTACTGTTAAGGGACCTAACGACTGAGGATCAGGAGTTCAATTGGTTAACTGTTACTAGGACTTATACACACTATAGTCCTACGCTGATACTAGAGTGCAAACTGAGCCGCTATATCTGATAGCAGTTTGCAGCCGTTACTGGTTGAAGCTGGGCTTCAGACTGAGACTAGACTTGAATAGACAACTGGGTCTATTACAAGAGAACTGTCCCTATGAAGTGTACGTAGGGAACAAGAGGACAAAACTAAGGTATAGTAGCAGAAGCAGTGCTACTTAAATAAACAGAGAATAGAGTTTAATAAGTATGAAACACTGAGTTGGATCAGTGATGTATATGAAACAGGTGTCACTGGGTTGTATCAGTGATGGGGACAAGACATGATAGATATGAAACGTGATGTAGGTAAGACAGGAGACAGGTGAAACAAGATAGATATGAAACACTTGATGTCAATGAAACACATCAGGTGATGGGATCAGTTGTATAGTACAGGGTTAACGATGAATAGTTTAGGACAAGAAAAGAAACCCCCCTCCAAGCTGTAACAGTTACTCGACCTCCTATGGGGGTTCCCATTGATGGCAATCCTGCTTTTGGATTACGATGGGTATCAACAACTGCACCGGATGTACTTTGTATTGCTGAACCTGTAGGGAACTGGAACTCTTCAGACAAGGAATGGGAGGAGGACACTGGAGAATATTTGCTGATGCGGGACGATAACTTACTGGAAGGCCTTTGGGCATTGTTACAAGACATCAAGGATCCTGGCATTGTCAATGAAGTCAATCGATTCAGGGCTGTTGACGCCAAGATAGACCTCCTACTTGCCGCGCAACGATCTGTAGGGGCAGAACTCATTCGCGCATAAGGAGAGATGGACCAATGTAGAGCTTGGCTTTGAGCTGCCAACCTGGAGGAACAACTTGAACAACACGAATTCTTCATTATCACTCCCCCTTCTAGCGCCATGCCCCACCATCTTCACTTCTGTACTAAATGCAAGACTGATGGTCATCTTCAGAGTGAGTATTGGCATTGGTTGCATTTCTTCTGTGGACTCCTGCACCCTTGCCATAAATTCCGCACCACCGCCAACATTCAACCTGGGCAGCTTCCCTGCCCTACCGATGAACCCAGATACTTACAAGAGCATTGCACTCAATGGAAACTCTGAACAACAAATCTGGAGAGGGGGGTAATGTTACAGCATGAGAGGGGGGTTCTTTTTCTTTTCCTAACTATTCGTTGTTGACCCTGTAACTGTATGACTGATCCCATCACCTGATGTGTTTCACCTATATCAGTGTTTTGTATCTATCATGTTTCACCCATATTATGTTTTACTTACATCACGTTTCATCTCTATCACGTTTCATCCTTATCACTGATACAACCCAGTGAAACCTGTTTCTGTACGTCACTGATTCAACTCAGTGCTTCATACTTATTAAACTCTATTCGCTTTACCCTATTTAAGTAGCACTGCATGCACTACTGTACTTTAGTTTTATCCTCTTGTTCTCTATGTACCTTCATAGGGACAGTCCTCAGTAATAGGCTCAGTTGTCTATTCCAGTCTCAGTCTGAAGTGTTGCTTCAACCAGTATACTTTCTCAAACCACTGCCAGTTGCAGTGGCTCAGTCTCTAAGTCTAGCTCTAGTATAGCGCATTAGCCTCACGCATAGCAGTACCTTTTGTCAGTAGTAGTCTTAAGTGGAACTCCTGATACTCAGTCATCAGGTCCCTTAACAATAGCTGATAGTGGTTTGAGAACATATACTGGTTGAAGCAATGCTTCAGACTGAACTGGAATAGACAACTGAGTCTATTACTAGGGATGTCCCTATGAAGGTATATAGGGAACAAGAGGACAAAACTAGAGTACAGTAGCGTG